AAGTTTCTGACCCTTTTTTCCCCTCCAGAAGCCTCTAAGGGAAGGGAGCAATTTTTTCCTGTACGTAACTTGAGGGAAGTTCGTATGTCGAGTCCTTATTTCCCCTATAGGTCGGGTTCGTAAGTTGAATTGTTCGCAAGTAGGGTCGTTCGTAAGTCAAGACCCCGCTGTATTAATGAGGCTGAAGGGTGCTGCCAAGCTGTAGTGTCTCACAGTGACATTTCATTTCCAGGCGAGAATGGGGCTGACTCCGACAGTGATGAAGAAGCTGATGGTGGCGAAGAGAAGACAGTTGTTGAATCAGTCAGTCAGTAAGTAATCGCAGTGAGAAAATATTATTGAATTCATTACAGAGGTTTTTTAACTTTGTCCTGGAATGAAAAATGTATTTGAGATGCAAACAAAATCTGAGCAAAATCCCAGGTAAAGCCTCAGCAAAACTTTGGCTTGAGCCCATGGAAAAATTTTGACTTGATCTCATGTGAGGAAAACGTAAAACTATGCTGAAATGTTGTGGGAACTCACAAAACCAAGATGAACCAAGATGAATTTGTAGAAGGGAAATATATGAAATAGCAGTTTAACCTTCCATAATCTGGGTGAATCTTCGTGAAACTCAAGGGATCCTTTGTGAGGCCCTAGGTTAAGGTGAGTTAAATTTTCACAAACATATGTGCAACACTGATTAAAATGGTTTAAAAAGAGAATCCCAGGCTACTCTTCCTTAGCTCCAATCTTGTGCAAAGTGTTGCATCAGAAGACTAGAGCTGTGATATTTCAGTGGACCCAAATACTGTATTCCATCACAAAATTATGCAATCTTAAAATCAGCGGGTGTGTTTTTTAGTTTGCTTTTCAATATATGATTACTTTTCATCATGGGTTGTAGAGAGCTTTGTCTTTCAGTAAATAACTTTATCCTGGCTATAAACTTTACAAATAGGCCCTTTTCCTCATTCCAGCTGTTTGTCTATCTCTTGGACTGTATGGCATTTGCTTTACTTGGCTCATCTTCATTCCTAGGTGGCTTTGTCCTGTGGCTGCTGTAGCAACATTCCTTGTACTTACTGCTAAATTGTTCATTTTATTTCTTAATTAAATATATGTCTTAGTCTCCTTTGAAGACCATGAGCTTCCCAAGCTACCTTGTAGTACAAACAAGGATTTTTGCCTGGTTGTGGAAGGATAGCAAAGATGGGACCAGCCTAGCGTCCTTAACTCAAACAGCTCACCCTGCCTGACAGACTCTGGTATTGAGTCCTGTTTGAAGTGGGCCATTTCCCATTTCTCTTCCATTTGATGGTAGCACAAACTGACATTCTCTGTCTAGCAGGACCCAGATGGCCTGGGCTCTGGGAAAACTTTGTATCTATAATGATGGTTTCACCAGCAGATTGTGCCCTACCACACTGAGATTGTTCCAGTTTGCATCTTTTCTCCACCCAGTGCTCTCCAAATGTGTGGATTAAAACTCACAGAATCACTGACTGGTGGCTATACTTGCTGGAGCTATTAAGAGGTCCAAAGCAGGGAAGAGGGGGGAGTCAGGATAGAAAATCCTAATGTACTCTAAAGGGAGAAGAATGATAGTCCAGTATCGCATAAAGCAGAGGTCCCCAACCCCCGGTCCAGTGCCGGTCAGTGGCCTGAGCCTGACTGGGCCCTGGAGAGAGACCTCCCCCCCCCTGCACGCACTCACCCCTGCACAGCCTGTTTGCGCCTGCGTGCGAGCGCACCCACACAAGCGCTGTGCCCCCCTTTCGCATGAGCGCGGGTGGGCGCCTTCCCCAGCCAGTCTGTGAGGCTAAAAAGGTTGGGGACTGCTGGTATAAAGTATATTTTAAAGCAGTGGTCCCCAACCTTGGGCCTCCAGATGTTCTTGGACTTCAACTCCCAGAAATCCTGGCCAGCAGAGGTGGTAGTAAAGGCTTCTTGGAGTTGTAGTCCAAGAACATCTGGAGGCCAAAGGTTGGAGACTGCTGTTTTAAAGTACTTAGGGTTTTTTCTTCATTTGCTACAACTACGTGAAGCTGTTATTTTTACAAACATTCTTTCATTAATTTTTAAAGGCATCTAATTTCTGATTGGATTTTTCCCTTTTACTCTTCACACACGCTCAGTTATTTTGATTAGAATAGCGATAGCTAGGACAGAAGTGAAGCATATGGCAACATACACCAAGAAACATTTTTGATTGCACTATTCAGCCCCATTCAGCTGTTCAAAATTGTACAATGCTCAAACATAGAGGAGAATGCTGTAGCCCCACCCTTCTTCATTCTCCGTTTTCTCACCTGCTCCATGAGCTGGGCAACAGATTGGAGAAGGAGAGTTCTACTGTCTGTGAGTATCTTTATGTCATGTGAGTTGAGACCATGACTTTCTAAAGTCCTGACTCATGTGGAGAGGCCCCAAAGATAGCAGAAGCTCCAGTGCTTCATGCTTGTCACCCATCATGTGACGAGTGATAGAAATAATGATGGAGGAGGTGGAGCAGTCATAGTCTCCTTTATACTTGAGTATTCTAGCCAGTTTTTAGGACCTGAACAGGATTTTATGGAGTTTAATATCAGATTTAACTAGACTGCGGGAAATCAGGTGTTGGTTTACCTTGTTTTGTTAGTCTGTCCATGTACAGTATGTGCCATACCTTGTTTAAATGAACTAGATTGGGTAGTTTTCTTCTCTTTACTGTTCCTTTTTGTGATTCTGTGGTTACAATCCAGATTTGTTCATCCGGCATTAAACTCTGTAAAATTTGAGGCATTTTTACTTAAAAGTAAGTCATCCTGTGTTCATTGGTGCTTTCCTTTGGGAAAATATGCACAGATCGGGTATCTTCCTGCACATATTAATACATTTTCATGAATGTGGAACGTGGAGTTTTTGTACCAATGCATGTTGTAATTTGCCTGGGGGTGGCCAAAAGACCAAAGAATGCCCATTAAGCTCAAGAAAAGATGCCCCTAATATATATTTAAAAATTCGTTTTATAAATAGGAAAGCTTTTTCTTGTATGTGCCAGTGAGGAGTGAGGTGTTTGACTAGAACTTAGGAGATCTAGGTTCTAGTTCTTAGTTGTGGCACCATTTCTCAGCCTGACCTGAATCATAAAATTCTTGTGAGGATAAAACAGGGAGGAGGAGAACAATGTAGGTCATATTGTGCTCTTTGAAGGAGAGGTGGAATATAAGTAGTTAATTAGTGCTAACAACAACAGTTATCCAAAGAGAATGGCTCTCTTTGAATAGTTTTTTTCTTCTTTAAATATTAGGGACTGTTGTTGGTCTTAATAGCTGGGAATGGAGAACTTCAGTGGGTATGCAGATGATGCAGAGTAGACCTTTGGTCTAGATGGGCGAGGTATAAATCTAATAAAATAAATAAATGACCTGATAAAGCATATATACATCTATTCTACACTCATAACGTAAAGAGAGAAAAATCCAGTCAAATTGAAATCCAGGGCAGCTGGCATGATCTAGTTGTGCTTCTAATGACTATGAAATACTGTACTTTGAAAGTTGACTCTTTTTCAGCCAATTTTTATGAAGTGCTCCTTTTTCAGAGGCTCTGACAACTTTCACAACGTAGTGGCTAATTGGTCTTGATCAGAATTCAGTGAATATTAAGAAATTTAATACATTTTGGGACACCGTAAGGTTGTGAGAAAGCAGCTTTTCCCCATACAGTGGTGCCCCGCATAGCGAGGTTAATCCGTTCCGGATTAACCTTCGCTATGGGAAAACATCGTAAAATGGATCAAAAACCCCAATTGGGCCCAAATGGGCCCAAAACTCACCGTTCTCCAATGTTTTCCCTTGTTCCGGCGGCCATCTTGGGTGTACCGGCGGCCATTTTGAGCGTCCCAGCGGCCATTTTGGGTGTGCCGGTGCCCATTTTTTGTGTTCTGGTGGCCATCTTGGGTGTACCAGTGGCCATTTCTTTTTGTTCCGGCCGCCATCTTGGGTGTTCCGGCGGCCATTTTTTGTTCCGGTGGCCATCTTGGGTGTACCAGTGGCCATTTTTTTTTGTTCCGGCGGCCATCTTGCGTGTACCGGGACCCATTTTTTGTGTTCCGGCGGCCATTTTGGAGCCGCAGAACAGCTGTTCCCCCATCGTAATGCGAGCGTACCCTCGCATTAGCGATGGGGAAATCCGCATCGCAATGCGGATTCATCGTTCAACGGTGCACTCGTTATACAAGGCACCACTGTACTCTTCTTAGACCTGCATGCCTCTTTCCAAGATAGCACATGAACAATGTGCATGCATGAATCTTTCCTTATTCTCTTTCTATTAATCCATGTTCCATGAGAAAGAGACATACAAAAAAGATCTGCATAGTATGACAGTTGGCCTGGATTTTAGCCAGACTGCCTTCTTTTTAAAATCTTGCCCTCCTGTTGGTCTGGAGGCTTCAGAGGGTCAGATGGAACCAGAGAGATTCCTAGGGGAAGTCCTTGGAACTAAGAATGAGAAGGTTAGTCTTTGAGGTCATCAATATGTTCTAGATCAGATGAACTTGATAACTACTCTTCCCATCATGCCTTGATTCTGAGGACTTCCCCTTTGAATTGCCATGAAGAAAGAGGAGTTAGGGCTGCAAATAGCTTTCCTTTTGTGGTGATGCCCTGCAGGAAACTTTTTCAAAGCTATTCAATGTATGAGTGATAGACTGGGGCAGTGGCTTGGGCTATGTTGAGCTACATTGTTTCATAATGCATTTAAATTAAGCAATAAATATTATTTTAATGAATTAAAAATAAAAACATTGGCAAATAATCAATTTTGAGTGAGTAGTGGTGAGTATTTATGGCTTAATTCTCAATAAATTCATTTCAGTGAAATTAAAACATGAAAGATAAGTCATATTATTTTCCAAGCATATTCATAATTAGTGAACTGTAGAAAAAATATTAGGTTATTAGACACTAAGCTTTATTGATTTAAACTGTAACCCAGCTTTGTCCCGATACTGGGATGTGAGGCAATCACCTGGTCAGTCATCATCATCATCATCATCATCTTAGAACTGCAGAGCTGGAAGAGATCCTATGGACCATCAAGTCCAGCCCCTGTCTAAGAAGCACAGTAGGTAATCAAACTCCCAACCTCTAGCTCTGCAGCTAGATACCTAAACTACTGAGCTACCCCAGCAGTCTTCTGTTCTGTGATGAGCTATATACAGTGGTGCCTCGCATAACGAGCGGCCTGTTTAATGACGAATCCACATAGTGATTCGTTTTTTGCGATCGCATTGCGATGTTTCCTATGGGGAAAAATCGTTTTGTGATTTTTCCCCATAGGC